GAAAGTCAAAAATAAGCATTTTTCATTATTCTGTGAAATGCTGGACCATATTATAAAACCTATAAAATCCCCAACGATTTTATAATTGATTTTCCTAAAGTTTATAAAATATTTAGAATTCGCAGTGCATAGAGAACACTTGGGGCTAGTGACTGAATGTCGACTTTTTTCAAAACAAGTCGTAGTTGAATAATAAAAGTTTTTTATTAGCAAAGTTTTACATATTTTCATATCTATAACATACAAAAACAATAGAAAAAATAAATAAAAAAGGCTCGTATACGCCATGATGCATATGTCCATGTGTCGATTATGGTACCATTCGATAAAACTCATCGAGTACCTTCGAACCATATGTAATAGCTGACCACTACTCTCCCATATTCAAATGGATATGATGGTTAAAATGTTCAAAAAATAATTTTTGCTTTTTCTCTAGTTATGCTTGAGCACCATTTTACCACCAAGTTCTGATGAAAAATGTCGCTCCATAATCCACTCGATATATTGAGAAAATTGTCTTGAAGAGAATATGGTGAATACGTTTTCATTTCTATGACCTACACCGTTCTACATGCAAATTGACATGTTCTGCTGATCTATTGATACTTTTAATAACTCAGCATCATCGAAAACCTATGTGTGACGATATGGTAAAAGCCTGAGAATTTTTCAAAAAATTTGACTTTATGTTGGGTGTAGAGAAAAGTTAACGAAAAAATGTTGACTCAAAAACAAAGCTGAACGAAAATTAGGAGCTTTTGCTTTTGTTTAAAAGAAAAGGTTTCATGCCATTTTGTAGCTCTTTGTTATTTTTTTTATTTGTTTATCTAACCATATGAAAATCACAAAATCTGCCATTTATCTAAAGAACTATCTTTTTTGAAGGAGGTCTTAACTGGAATGAGAGATATATTTTTATATTCATAAATTTACAGAAAAACTGAACATGTGTATATCAGTATTTTTATTTTCTTAGACATTTTCTTATTGTTGTCGTTTGTTCTACTTGTTATTTGACCGATTTTTTATTTTATGAAATTGTTGTTTAAATATGAAATAAACCTTCATATTGCATTATGTTATTAATTTTCTCAAAATTATTCATCAACGATTTTGACAAAACTACGTCCGTCTTTATGCACAAAATTAGCAGTCTTAGTAAATATAAATGCTAAGGTCTGGGACTATTTCTATAATCAATGTTTTGTAAGAGTATATGCATACAAGAATATTGGATACATGATAGAAAAGAGCTGTAATGAGTAGCACAAACTCTACAATTCCAAAAAATCGTAGACAGCTGGGAAAACATCTTAAATTAATTATTAAACTCTTTTCTGCATTTTGGGATCTCTTTGGACTCTAGAAAATCTATCCTCAAAAAGTTATGATTAAAACGCCGCTAGCTATCTTTCGATGCATTTTTTGGAAAGTGGATCTCGGCGTTTTAATCATGACTTTTTGAGAATGGATTTTCTACAGTCCGGAGAGATCTCAAAATGCAGAAAAGAGTTGAATATTTAATTTAAGACGTTTCTCAGCTGTCTGCGATTTTTCGTTGCGAAGATATCGTCAAAACAAAATGAGCAAAAAACGTGACGCTGTGGCACCTCTACCAGCAGAGTTACGTGGACAAGCCGTTGAGCGGCACTCCCGCGGAATTTCATTGGGACTCTTGCGGGATTTTATAGGGACTCGTTACGGGATCCCGCCCGGACTCTCGCGGACATTTTTCAATTTTGTTCAGATTTTTCGGGATTTTACTGGACTCCCGCGGGATTTTATCAGAAGTCCCGCGGGACTCCGGACGGGATCGCGACGGGAGTCCCGCGGGACTTTTTTTCGGGACTTTGGTCGGGAGTCTCGACTAGGGTTGGTGAAGCTTTATCCTCAACGCAACAAAAACGTATCTATTTGACGAAATTCTGCGACATCTGAGAGAGTGGTGAGAATATTCTTGCATAATTCTATTATATTTCACAATTTCTGAAAGCATTTTGCAATTCTGATAGAGTTTAGCAAAATTCTACGAGGTGTGTTGGTCAATTACAGTAATTCATCGGAGATGAGTTTGTGCTGCGTTGAGGATAAAATTCGCCATTGCACAGTCCCCCTACTTCTCGTGAATATGTACGTCAATTCCTTTTGTTTCTTCAAACTAATATCAAACCATGCGTAACACTGAGTGGTCATTCATTGAACACGTGTAAAACGACGGTAACGAAATTATTATACGTATTGAATGAAGTCCCCAAAGGCTACAGAAGAAGAAAAGAGAGCATGTCCTGTCTTTATGGACGAATAGACATTTCGTTTTTCTCTTCTAACAATGTACAAATTTTCTTATTCTCTTGTTACATTTCTAATAGACGTGTGAAATAGGATATACGTCAGAAGAATTTAGTCACTTTCTTCGTCAAAAGAAGTGGACATAAATATCGATTGTTTTAGTTACAAGTTGAGTTTAGTTTTAAAATAAAATTTTTAATTTTATACAGGCTAATATCGAATATTAAAATTAATCATACTTGTTAAGTAGAGTGTTTGTTTTAAAATTTTTAAAATGGTGATTAACAATGGTTCATTATACGATAGTGGTGATAATGCATGGATGATGACTTCAACAGCTCTCGTGTTTATGATGACACCGGCTTTAGCTTTCTTTTATGGAGGTTTAGTTCATCATAAAAATATTTTAAATCAATTATTTTTATCAATTATTTGTATGGGTATTGTCCTATGTCAATGGATACTCTTTGGATTTTCATTTGCGTTTGGACCAGGTGGTAATGGTGGCTTCGGTTCATTTCAATGGTCTGTATTAAGATTTGGAGAAGGAAACAATACAACTTATTCACCAACTTATCCATTATTAACATTTTGCGCCTATGAAGGTAGGAGAATGAGTTGGTATATACTTGATGAGAATTATAGAGAACTACTCGGGGTAGCCCTGGTGAAAGTTTTTTTTTGATTTCGTGACCAAGATCTTGCGTTTCTTGAGCAAGAAAGTGACATTTCTTTTTCTCGCATTTCTTGGGGACAAGATCTTGTCCTAAGAAATCCAAGAAATTTAATTTCTTGTTCCAAAAAACATCCCTAGTGGAACTTGATACAAGACGCTACAAGAAAGTGGGATACTTTTTGCAGCAAGAAATATTTCTTGCTGCAAGAAGTGTCCTACTTTCTTGTTTTGTTCTTGCTTGTAGCTTCTTGCATTAAGAAGTTCCACTAGGGAGAATATGGTTACTGATGCAAAGTTGTTAGACCCAATATAATAGAATATGATAATACTATTGAAAATAACTTTCCATCGTATTGAGCTCGAACTAAACAGTTTTACTTTATACTTATCCTAAACCTTCTTTCCTTGCATCTATCAGTAAGTTAGCACTACTTTCCAAAACAGGCGATGTTGGCGTATGATGTTAGAAGTAGGATAAGAACAAGCGTTCTTCTGTGAGTTTTTTTCTAAGAAAAATGTTTTTTTTGAGCAACAACGTGCAATGATTCATCGGTGTGCGATGCACTATAACGCAAGAAAAATGTTACTTCGGCGATTACGCATTTTTCCACATAGTACTGCATTAAATAGTTGAAAAAATACGTTGTAATGGAATGGAAAGTGTCTGCATGTGTGAGAGTATGTACAGTGGCTGACGAATACATTACGAAAGCCAAAGATTAGTCACTGCCCTAGAGGATGTCCAGTTGTCGGGTCCTGAAAATAGTGAAGACCTATTTACTTACAGGTGTATGTTTCCTGGGTTTTTTTCTTGTTCTGGTCAGAACAAGAAAGTGACCAGATCAAGGTCTGTTTTTTTGTTTGTAACCGACCACTAATAGAAATTTCTCATAGATGATGAGTGATGTCTTAGAGATTTCTGTGATGAACAAGAGATATCTAACGACATTCCGAGTCTGATGGTTACATTGGAAGGTGTTCAGGAAACTTTCCGGGTTTCTGCTGATTTTTGCAGTATAGGCGATTAGCAAGCAACATACCTAATTTTTGCTTATGTACAACAAGCTCGTGGTCTTGATCTCTTTCACTGACTAGGCAAAAAACAGATTCTGACTTTTTTTCGAATTTCCTTTCTACTCATTCTTAGCCGGCTTCATTCTTCATCTGAAGCAACAAGTGAATACCAGAATAGAATGAAATATCAGGGTCTTGGAGATGAGTGGCACAAAGCTGACAAGGAATCCTGTGGAGGTGATCTCGTTTCCAATGGTTTATACGTCAATCGATAGGATATACGGAGATAGTAAAAAGCTAAGAAGGGTTTTGGTGGATTCTGTTTGAAATGGTATGATACATGCCTCTCTTGTAAACCTATCTAGGTTTTTTTGTGAAGAGATGAAGCCAATTTTTTCTTCGTTCACTTGAACCGTCATTAAACGAGCTTTAAATGTATGCATCGCTTTTTCTTCCTTTGTCTCTGAGAAAATTCATTTTCTCTAAATCAGCAAGGAAAAAGTGAAAATTCTGCCTGTAATTCTCCATTTTCTCCACCGGAACTTTCATGCAATACAAATATCATGTTTGGAGTTAGCATCAAAAACCGAGTCGAATGATATATATTTCAAAATGTTTCGTAGAAAAATTAGAAAAAATTAAAGTAGTCAAATTGGATAAAAAAATTTATCACTCGATTCGATTTTTGACGCTAATTTCGGATATAATATTTGTGTTGTATGAAAGTTCCAGTTCTGGTGGAGAAAATTGAGAATTACGGGCAGAATTTCCACTTTCGCTGAATTTAGACAAAGGAAAACGGAAGAAAAAGTGTTTTAATGACGGTTCTATAGAACACTATAGTGAAGGAAAAATATCAACGATCGACCATTTTCTGTTTTCATCCACGAGTCAAAATTTTGAAGTAAGATAATACGGCCAATACGATGCAACACACTACAAATTGTTGCATTGTGACGCGTTATGACTTGTTAGGTATTACAACGGAAAAAAAGGGAAAAAGATATGGATTAGTCTGTGCTTCTTCACTCGTCAATTTGCAAATCAAAACATATTTCTAATCGTATTTCCTTTAGCTGCTTTTGCCGTTATTACTCCAGCTTTAATCAGTGGTAAGTAGTTTATTTATACATGTCTGTTCATATTTATTCATATAATGATTTTTTCATTTTAAGGTAGTATCGTTGGTCGAATGAAATTAATTCCCTATATGGTATTCATATTTCTTTGGACAACGCTTTGTTATGATCCATTGGCTCATTGGGTATGGGCTGAAAATGGTTGGCTAAAAAAATTAGGTACACTTGATTTTGCGGGCGGAACGGTGGTACATATTTCAAGTGGCGTGAGTGGCTACGTTGCCTCGGCTATTATCGGTTATCGTGTTGATTTTAATTCAAAAGAAACTGGTCATAATTTACCATTTACAATATTGGGTGCTAGTCTTCTATGGATTGGATGGATTGGATTTAATGCGGGTTCAGCGAATGCTGCAGAGTAAGTAAATACACCTAATTATAACATTTTAAGCTTTCACATTGAGATGAGCCGATGGTTCGCTAGTCTGAGCTATCTACTTATACTGAAATTATAGTACTTCTGCAGAAATCAAAGGTTTTAGACAGTTTTCTTGCAAAGATTTTTAAAAATCATGATTTCAACAACATGATCATGATGACTCATCTCTGTAATGAGAACTTTTTTTAGAAGCGGCTTAAGTAAAAGAACAATATTATTCGTTTCAGCGGACAAGCTGCATTAGCAATGATTAACACTAATGCTGCAGCTGCTTCTGCTCTGATGACATGGGTAGTAATCGACGCTATTCGTGGTTCAGTTACAGTTAGTGGTGCATGCATTGGCGTGGTAGTAGGTCTTGTTTCTATTACGCCGGCGTGTGGTTATGTACAACCTGGTTGGGCCCTTCTCATTGGTATCATTGGCTGTCTATTTGTATATGGTGCGATTTACTATAAGCAATACTTAAAAGTCGATGATGCTTTGGATGTGGCAGTTTGCCATGGACTTGGTGGTATAATAGGAGCATTTTGTACAGGTGAATATTCATTTATTTTATATGACTTTCGTGAGTTATCTTGTTCAATGAGTACTAGTTACATTATATATGAATATTATAGGCCTTTTCACCGAAGTGCGTCTAAACCCGAATGGTGGAGCTAACGGAATGTTTTATGGACGACCTATTCAGTTATGGTATCAAGTTGTTGGAATTTTAACAGCCATAGGTTTGAGCCTTTATTAGAGAAAAAATCTTGTTAATCAAATTCATTAACGATTCCCTTTTAGGTTTTGCGGCGGCGTGTACTGCCGGTATATTATTACCAATGAAATTTATCTACAATATTCGTGTGGCACCTGAAGATGAACTTACTGGATTAGATAGAGCAGGTAAAAATACAATCAAATACAGAATTGTGCTATTTTCTTGTCTTATTTCATTCGAACGAAAGGATGCTAGAAACTCGTAATTGTCTCATTCTGCGAAAAAATTATACTTAAAAAAATGGCCGTTATCTTCTTGATCAACAATCCTACAACTCTCTGAGATCTACCATTTTATTAAGCATACTTTTCGCAAAATGAGGAAAATCGCAGGCTACGAGCATCTGTTCGCTCGGATGAAACATCGACAAGAAATTAGCACAAAAGACTTATAGAATCATCTTTTCGGCTGAGTGTTATGCGAAATTGTTCTGTCGTTACTAAACACAAGATATATTTTTTTTTTCTGTAGCACATGGTGAATCTTGGGAAGGATTTACTTCATTAGCTGTTTATAGTTCTGCGAAAATGAAAGAAGAAAGCACAACGCCCAATGGTACATTCGAAATGCCATATCAACCAAATAATATTCGAGAAAAAACTGTAGCCGTAAAATTAACGGCAATTAATCCATTAGGTCAATCATCTGATAAACAAATACTATCAGAATCAAACAACAACAATAATCATGATAAAATTGAAATATATAAACTTTAATAATGAATATTCTTTTAGTTTATAAATATTTGATGTACATATGATAGTTTTGGTATAATAATCTTTTTACTATTGTGGTTCTTACAATAGTCTGTAGTTTTTCTTTTGAAATCGAAAATCATGTTTGTGTACAATATATTTTCCTACATGTCATTTTGGCTTTTATTCAAGGGGAAAACAGCTGATTTTGGTATATTTCCGATTTTTGTCTATTTTGCTGATTTTCATCGATTTTCACCAAATGAAAAGTTACCGGAAATGACTGGAAGTTATTGAAAATCACAGAGCATTACTGAAAATCAATTGATTTTGGATGATTTTCGGCTTATTTTGGGCTGATTTCAGTCTACTTTTTCCCCCTTGCTTCTATTGCAGATGGGCCAGAGCATATTTTCTATGGTTTAGTTAGTAAGTTCTTTGAATTTGTGTGATTCCATTACGAAATGTACGATGGTATGCTATACCTTAAAACAAAAAGTTGCGTCCTATTCTATTGAGTGGGCCAGAATAAATGAGGGCCTTAGTATTTTGCTTATAATTTCTTTTAGATTTGTTTCCGAGACTCGATGCTTGTTTTAAAAGATACGCTGCGAAACACTATAAAAATCGTACCAAACTGTAAGTTCATAACTTCAATTAACAAAACTAAGAAAATTAGATGAAAATCGAAAAGAATGAAAACTTTTTAAAAAATGATTTCTTGTGTTTACGTTGTGAAAGTAAGAAAAACTGAATTAGCCATTTTGTAACCCTGACTTCGCTCTACCTTTTAGCTACGCTTCAGATTTTTTTCACATGAAAGTTCAGGGCGAAATAATGATTTTTCTGTCGTTTGTCATACATTTTTTCCGTGACACGACATTACCACGAAACATTACTGCGAATACAAAAAGCGACATTACCGCGAAAACTCGTTTATTGGAAAAGAAGAATAAATGAGCCTGGTTGTGAGAGGGAGTTCGAAAAGTAGTTTCATACAAGACATATTCATGATGCCGAACTAGATATCTGTGACTGTATCAGTAAGGGACTAGTGACCATATAACTTCAGTTAGGTTTGAAATCTGTTTCAATAAAAGAGTCTTCGCGGTAGCGTCGTTTTTTGCATTCGCGGTAATGTCGCTTTTTGTATTCGCGGTACTGTCATTCGATGTAATGTCGTTGTATCGACAAGGCGGATCTATGCGAATACGGTTTTATTGAACTGAACTGTCCCAGAAATCGTTGTTCCCTCAAGCAGAACAAAAACATTCTGTCTGTGGGAAAAGAATTCACAGAACAGGACACAATTGTCCTGTTATCCGGGAAATTTCGTATTTATTTATTCTGGCTTACTCAATACTAAATCTTGAGCTATTATTCAAAATTGTGAATTTGCTGGTTTTTATAATGATCTTCCATTGAAAACCCGTGGCGGCCAGCATCTTTTAACATTCTATATTATCGATGGTATAAAAACATTCACTTCATATTTTTCAACAAATGATTCATACCCAGGTCAAACAATCATACTGTAAGATCTTACAAGATTCTTATAGGATCATATAAGATCGTACTTTAAGATCATGTATGTTCTTGCAAGATCGTACGAAAATTATATACGATCTTGTACGATTTGGTATGAAAATCATTGTCACCACGTACCAGACGAATATCGTACTGTAAGATTCTTGTAAGATTTTACTACAAGATCTTGTAACATCATATACAATCGTAG